AAATATGAGATAAGCACTTCTTTCTCGGTCATATGGTTGAAGACGGGACACATACAGAGCCAGACCAGGACTATAACATAAACAATAGGAACAGAGAAGTAGAAGATATTACACGGTTGCAAAAATGTAAGTCGAGTTTGCAATAGAGTGCGGACCTCTTGGTCGACCTACACAGCCGCGAGATCTCCTACTTCGAGAGGGGTTCCGACTTAGATTTCTCAGATGGACCTGACGATTCAGTCTGGAATCGGGGGGGTAGATAGTCACTATGTAAGACGACACAGCTGGTTGTCAATACTCCGAGAAACTCAATCTAGCGGAGGACACTAATATGGCCTACTGGTTCGAGTTGTATGAAGGGTCGTTAAGTTTGGTTTCACGAACGGTCCTTTATAATAGGACTAACCGTAGAGGAGAGGAAAGGAAGAACAAGGTCCTACGGTGATGTCGGTCCCAAATAGGTGTAGGAACCGAAAGGTTACCCTACAACCTTCTGTCTAAGAACGCGATCAACAGTAGACAGTGAATAATACGTGAACACATCGATCAGTACTCAAAAAAACAGACCAGTGCTATTATTTCTGATCAAAGATCGCTCCGGGACGTTAAGAAACTGGGTAGAAAGAATGATTACATAAAATTGTCAATTGAAAAAAATAGATGTGAGTAATATTAATTGTAAGATTGTCCTTATTTTCACGATGAAATGAACATCAATACAAAAAAAAAAAAACGTTTAGTATATCAGGTAAATATTGCGCAGTAGGAGGTCCACTAACACGAAACACCCCTTATAAAGGATTGGCAGGTACATTGTAACGTGGTCAACTAGTCAAGTTTGAAGACTGACTCGTGATGCCGGTAGGACGAATTTAGGAACGAAAGACACCGAAGAGCCCAACAAACAGAGGGACAGGACCGGGCAACGCAGTCGACTATCTCACAAATACACTAAATATAGAACAATACGGTCGTACAACTAAAAAGAGAGACTTGAATCGACTTATATGTAACCCAGACCGCCACCTCAAGAAAGTCTTAAACTAAGACGCGGTGAGATGCACTCAGTCTTGGAGACCACGAGAACGTCCTGAACACTACACTTAGAGGCCGAGCTTCGAGGTTTATTTAGGTAGTCACAAACTGTAGTTTCGAGATGACGGAGTAGGGCACCAGAGGAAGTACTCAGCCACAGAGGGTGACGTAACGATGTGTCTCAGGGGGTGTCGACCGAGTCTCGAGTTCGACTTAACCATTATAGCTTAGTTGAGTTACGCAGCTTCTTTCAGATGTTCTTTACTCTTTGACATGACAAAAGAGGGTCACCCTAAACCCAGCCAAACATATACAACGGAACGGTACTGTACGAAATTATTATTTGACGGGGACGGTTTCGAGTAAAGGTCCGAATATCCAGATTTATGTAGTTCGGATGTATCGATGTCTTTATACAGACGTCTGCTTCACATATATATAGTTATACGTCATGTCGTTCACGCAAATCATCCACCGACGTAATACCGCGAAAAGACATTAATGACAGAACGTGATCATAT